CCTGTTATAACATTGTTCTAACAGTTTGTATTAACAGTTCTACTGCCTGTTATAATATTGTTCTAACAGTTTGTATTAACAGTTCTACTGCCTGTTTTAACATTGTTCTAACAGTTTGTATTAACAGTTATACTCCCTGTTATAACATTGTTCTAACAGTTTGTATAAACAGTTATACTGCCTGTAATAATATGGTACTAATAGTATAGAAGTATATGTATTATAACTCATGCCTTTTCAGACAGTGATATTTAAAATTGTGTAAAATTTACACTGGTCACGTTCAAACATTGACTTTGTCCTTGGTCTGACATTGAAGCACTGTTACACCTCCTGACAGTAACAGTCTTACCTCCTGTGGTGGATGTGGCATAGATACCACCTGGCCATTCCGGCTGGACAAAAAACTGCTTCTGTCTGAAATCCGGGTTCCTGTACAGGATCACAGATGACCCTTTGGGTGCAAAACCATACTGAAATAAACAGTGATTGAAACTGAATCCTGGAGAAACAGCACACATCATCCGAGGTAAAATTTATGGACAGTAGCTCACGATCAATTAGTAACAGAAGTATTCTCCCATGAGGCCTTCTCTACAAAATATTGTGAACAGCATGATAAACATATACAAATATAGATAAAGACCCCAAGCGCACCAGCATCTGGGCCAACAAGAGAGATTATTATAAGTTGTAATAACTTTATCATTAAGTATCCTGGAATTCTGAAGTAAAAACATGTTATCGGAGTAATAATGCTAACTTACTTTCCTAAATACACAGTCAACATGAACATTCCGCTGCAGAAATAGGTCGACAACTGTATTCCTGATCAACTTAGAATATAAACTTTATTTGTAAAATTGTAAAGCGGATTGAGTCTAAAAGTGGAAGGAACCAGAGAAGCCGGAGAAAACCCACGTGGTTGGGCAGGTGACCCATACCTTTTTATCATCTGATTGGGAAATTGAACCCCCAGCCATCTTGGTGAACCACTTCCCCACCTGACCCCACTCCATCAGTTAACTTACTGTGTTACTAGAGAGCAATAAAACAAACCATCAGTGGTAACTATCACTGTATGAAGACATGATTCTCTTGTATTTCTGTCACTACTGTGGTCTTCCATGTAAACTTGATCAAGTTAGTTTGTTGTTTACCTTGTGTGTATCAGCCGATATACTCGTTACTCCTGGGAGTCGGAAGTCGACAGTGGGAATAGGATAGCCTGCTTTCTCCATGAATGGGACCAGGAAGCCACCCAGACAGCTGTCCACATGGACTGGAATGTTGTACTTCTTTCCAAGCTTAAGTGATGGAAGCACAAAATATTCAGTATTTTCATTTTGTTTTAGGATTTTTTAAGTAGAACATGTTAGAACAAATCAATCAAAAGTATAGCTAATGTTTGGTGCTGGGAAAAACTTTATTTAGTATTAAGAATGTCCAAAAAATTACATTTGTGTTTAAATATAAGGATGGGTGAGAAAATAGGTAAAATTTGTTTACGTTTGTCAAAAATTGGCAAAAACATATTTCATAGGTACCTAAAAATATAATAGAAAGTGAATGGTGACAATATTTTTATTTCGCAAACAGGGACAAAATGTACACAATGGGGATTAGATTGATTTAAACTTACTGCAGCAATTTCTTCGATGTCATCTATGATACCATGAGGAAAGCCGGGTGCTGAACCAACAAGCTGAAACAAACAGGAGAATAAATGTAGTAATGAGAACAATCATATTTCACTCCAATAACAAGTCTTATAAGGAATGACCAAGATTGACACCAATACCTGTAGAAAACTGCATTTTTCATAAATCTACATGTACAGTAACGCCAAAAATAATTTTGGTCATTTTATAAAACTTCATTTGAAATAAAAGATCAGCCCATGACATAACCTACATATTCAACAATGCTTGTACATGTAATAGGACAAAAAAGATCAGTTTATAAATGTGAAACTGTAACCTAAGAACATGTTTTCATTTACTATATTTGAATCATACTTTTCAAAATAGCTGGCTCCTATTGAATGAAAAGAGACTTTCAAACTCACTTTATAAATTCAAATAACTGTAATGTTTCCACTAGACCACTAGTTTGTTTAAGGCAGCACACTGATTTGACCTCAAACTTTTGTAAGAGCAGCACACTGATTTGACCCCTAGTTTGTTCAAGGGCAGCACACCGCTTTGACCACTAGTTTGTTTTAGGGCAGCACACTGATTTGACCACTATTTTTTTTTAAGGACAGCACACTGATTTGACCAATAATTTGTTTAATGGCAGCACACTGATTTGACCACTAGTTTGTTTTAGGGCAGCACACTGATTTGTCCAATAATTTGTTTAAGGGCAGCACACTGATTTGACCACTAGTTTGTTTAAGGGCAGCACACTGATTTGACCAATAATTTGTTTAAGGGCAGCACACTGATTTGACCACTATTTTTTTTAAGGACAGCACACTGAATTGACCACTAGTTTCTTTAAAGGCAGCAGACTGATTTGACCTGCAGTTTTTAAGGACAGCACACTGATTTGACCTCTAGTTTGTTCAAGGGCAGCACACTGATTTGACCTGCAGTTTTTAAGGGCAGCACACTGATTTGACCTCAAGATTTTTAAGGGCAGCACACTGATTTGACCTCCAGTTTTTAAGGGCAGCACACTGATTTGACCTCAAGCTTTTTAAGGGCAGCACACTGATTTGACCTAGTTTGTTCAAGGGCAGCACACTGATTTGACCTGCAGTTTTTAAGGACAGCACACTGATTTGACCTCTAGTTTGTTCAAGGGCAGCACACTGATTTGACCTGCAGTTTTTAAGGACAGCACACTGATTTGACCTCAAGCTTTTTAAGGGCAGCACACTGATTTGACCTAGTTTTTTTAAGGGCAGCACACTGATTTGACCTCAAACTTTTGTAAGAGCAGCACACTGATTTGACCTAGTTTTTTTAAGGGCAGCACACTGATTTGACCTCAAGTTTTTTAAGGGCAGCACACTGATTTGACCTCAAGCTTTTTAAGGGCAGCACACTGATTTGACCTAGTTTTTTCAAGGGCAGCACACTGATTTAACCTAGTTTTTTCAAGGGCAGCACACTGATTTGACCTCAAGATTTTTAAGGGCAGCACACTGATTTGACCTCAAGTTTTTTAAGGGCAGCACACTGATTTGCCCTCAAGTTGTTTAAGGGCAGCACACAGATTTGACCTGCAGTTTTTAAGGACAGCACACTGATTTGACCTCAAGCTTTTTAAGGGCAGCACACTGATTTGACCTACAGTTTTTCAAAGGAAGCACACTGATTTGACCTCTAGTTTTTAAGGACAGCATACTGATTTGACCTCAAGCTTTTTATGGCAGCACACTGATTTGACCTACAGTTTTTTTCAAGGGCAGCAGACTGATTTGACCTGCAGTTTGTTAAGGGCAGCACACTGATTTTTATAACACCATTTTCTATAATTTAGAAAGGGTTAGGGTGATACTTACCATACCTGTGTTTTTCAAGGGCAGCACACTGATTTGTATACCACCTTTTTCTGTCATTTAGAACGGGTAAGGGGGAAACTTACCATACATGTATTTGTATTGATACCCTGTCTCATAGCCTTTATGTCTACCTTCCCTGACAGTCTTAATGGGAGGTAAGGGGAACACTTACCATACATGTGTTTTTATTGATACCCTGTCTCATAGCCTTAATGTACACCTTCCCTGACAGTCTTAATGGGAGGTTAGGTGAACACTTACCATACATGTGTTTTTATTGATACCCTGTTTCATAGCCTTAATGTACATCTTTCCTGACAGTGTTAATGGGAGGTTAGGGAACACTTACCATACATGTGTTTTTATTGATAGCCCTTCTCATAGCCTTTATGTCTACCTTCCCTGTCACTTTGTCAAGAGGAATGTGTGTGATTTTCATCCGGAAATAAGATGCTGCCTAATAAAAAGGAAGAAAATAGAGGCATGCATATTTGTTTCATCATTAAGAGCAAAACCAATATACTGTTCAAAAACATTTAATCCAGGTTACTTAGTTCAGAACAAAAAAGGCAGTCAAGGAAACTTAGAGTCAATGTGAGAGTGGCCAGACATCTTAGGTTCTGTATGAGATTTTCAATTATTATGTTAAACAAATTATTTCGCACAAAGAATTATCATTACCTTATCAAATGAAGCATGGACAGTGACAGGTACAATCCTGGAGAATAAAGAAAATCTCTTGTATATCATTGTACATTTTACTTACTGTCATATCAATTAATTTAGTGTAGCAAGAAGGTAGACAGCAGTTATCCCAATCAAAAAACCCTTTGTCTGTGATCAATAAAAGTACCCTTTGTCTGTGATAAATTAAAGCACCCTTTTTCTGTGATCAATTAAAGAACCCCTTTTCTGTGATCAATTAAAGCAACATTTTTCTGTGATCAATTAAAGAACCCTTTTTCTGTGATCAATTAAAGCACCATTTTTCTGTGATCAATCAAAGCACCCTTTTTCTGTGATCAATCAAAGCACCCTTTTCGGTGATCAATTAAAGCACCCTTTTTCTGTGATCAACCAAAGCACCCTTTTTCTGTGATCAATTAAAGCACCCTTTTTTTGTGATCAATCAAAGCACCCTTTTTCTGTGGATATTTTCAGTGGGTATCACCATGGTAACTAATTGAAATATATATGTATCTATACAGTAGATTTCTACAAGTCTACAACATTTTGACAAGTTCTTGCAAAGGAAAATATGTAATAAAACAACAAGTACACAAGACTGATTGCTAGGCCTTTCTGCCTTCTTGGGCTTCTTCAGGCGGACTGATATTTCAATAAAATTTATGAATAAGAATAAAAAATCACAGCAGACAGACTGACAGATTGACAAACTGATTTCAGTATACTCCAAACTCTATTACAAGGGGTATAACACAGGCTTATAATTTGCCAGGCGTAACCTTTTCATTTGGAAGTACTAAGTAAACATTACTTATTATTATTATTTATTATTTATTATAACTTACATTTCGGGAAAATTTACACCATTATCCCGAGCTATATTTCTGTACGTCAGACATGCTAGCAGAATACTCTCGGTGCCTCCTGAAGTCATCTAAAAAAAAAATTGTACAAATTTAAAGTTTCTCTCCCGATTTAAACCTAAAACAAGTACAAAATTAATGATTATCTCCCTTATTTAAATCTTAAATCAGTATAAATTAAACGTTTCTCTCCCTTATTTGAATCTAATATCAGTACAAATTTAACGTTTCTCTTCCTAATTTAAATCTAAAATCAGTACAAATTTAATGTATTTTCCCTTATTTAAATCTAAAATCAGTACAAATTTTAAGTTTTTCTCCTTTATTTAAATCTAAAATCAGTGTAAATTTAACGTTTCTCTCCCTTATTTAAATCTATAAAAGTACAAATTTAAAGTTTCTCTCCTTTATTTTAATCTAAAATCAGTACAAATTTATTGATTCTCTCCCTTATTTAAATCTAAAATCAGTACAAATTTAAGGTTTCTCTCCCCTATTTAAATCTATAATAGTACAAATTTAACGTTTCTCTCCCTTATTTAAATCGTTAATTGTACAAATTTAATTTTTCTCTCCCTTATTTAAATCTAAAATCAGTACAAATTTAACGTTTCTCTCACTTATTTAAATCTAAAATCAGTACAAATTTAATGTTTTTTCCCTTACATCAATCTAAAATCGGTACAAATTTAACGTTTCTCTCCTTTATTTAAATCTAAAATCAGTACAAATTTAAAGTTTCTCTCCTTTATTTAAATCTAAAATCAGTACAAATTTAATGATTCTCTCCCTTATTTAAATCTAAAATCAGTACAAATTTAACGTTTCTCTCCCTTATTTAAATCTAAAATCAGTAAAAATTTAACGTTTCTCTCCCTTATTTAAATCTAAAATCAGTACAAATTTAATGATTCTCTGCCTTATTTAAATCTAAAATCAGTACAAATTTAACATGTCTCTCCTTATTTAAATCTAAAATCAGTTCAAATTTAATGATTCTCTCCCTTATTTAAATCTATTATAGTACAAATTTAACGTTTCTCTCCCTTTTTTAAATCTAACAGTACAAATTTTACGTTTCTCTCCCTTATTTAAATCTACAATCAGTACAAATTTAATGATTCTCTCCCTTATTTAAGTCTTAAATCAGTACAAATTTAACATTTCTCTCCTTTATTTAAATCTAAAATCAGTACAAATTTAACGTTTCTCTCCCTTGTTTAAATCTAAAATCAGTACAAATTTAACGTTTCTCTCCATTACTTAAATCTAAAATCAGTGCAAATTTAATGATTATCTCCCTTATCTAAATCTAAAATCAGTAAAAAATTAAACGTTTCTCTCCCTTATTTGAATCTAAAATCAGTACAAATTTAATGATTCTCGACCTGATTTAAATCTATAAAAGTACAAATTTAACGTTTCTCTCCCTTATTTAAATCTAACAGTACAAATTTATTGTTTCTCTCCTTGATTTAAATCTAAAATCAGTACAAATTTAACGTTTCTCTCCCTTATTTAAATCTAACAGTACAAATTTATTGTTTCTCTCCTTGATTTAAATCTAAAATCAGTACAAGTTTAGCCTTTTTCACCCTTATTTAAATCTATAACCAGTACAAATTTAACATTTCTCTCCTTTATTTAAATCTAAAATCAGTACAAATTTAATGTGTCTCTCCCTGATTTAAATCTAAAACAAGTACAAATTTAATGTTTCTCTCCCTTATTTAAATCTAAAACAAGTACAAATTTAATGTTTCTCTCCCGAATTTAAATCTAAAATCAGTACAAATTTAACGTTTCTCTCCCTTATTTAAATCTAAAATCAGTACAAATTTAACCTTTTTCCCCCTTATTTAAATCTATAACCAGTACAAATTTAATGATTCTCTCCCTTATTTAAATCTAAAATCAGTGTAAATTTAACGTTTCTCTCCCTCATTTAAATCTAACAGTACAAATTTTATGATTCTCTCCCTTATTTAAATCTAAAATCAGTACAAATTTAACGTTTCTCTCCTTTATTAAAATCTAAAATCAGTACAAATTTAACGTTTCTCTCCCTGATTTAAATCTAAAATCAGTACAAATTTAACCTTTCTCTCTCTTATTTAAATCTAAAATCAGTACAAATTTAATGTTTCTCTTGAGTACAATTTCAGTTGACCCTTTAAAAAATGCATACTCTTCTAGTTCTAAGAAACGATATGATTTCTCAACAGGCTAAGTATAACACAAACGTGACTACTGGTATTATAATTATTTAATTGATTTATTTCAAGGTGTAAATCACTAATTATCATGTTACAAACTTTAATTTCAATGTAAAATCACTATCATCCTTTGGGATATTTTGAGTTAACACTACGGTTTATTTGCCACTTTGAGCAAATGGGCCAAGACCAGAATACATTGTCACTAAGGCACTAATTTTTAACTTTTGTGATCGATATCTCTGCTTTCTATTATTACTGACCGTGCCACAGGTTTGTTCATCACCGTTGAACATAGTACAGCACATACGAACAACCTCGGCTTCCATCTTCCTCACATCAGGGAACACATCTGGGTGCAGTGGATTGGACCAGGCAAACAGCCCATATGTCTACCAGAAACAATAGGAATATATTTCATTTCAACAAATTTTATTGCAAAAAATATGCAAATATAAGTCTTCTCCTTACAACTTCTGTATGTTATATGTACAGTCATTGAAATCATCAAACAAACATATAAATAATTTATATAGTGTGTCTACATGTCCCCACCGTAGCAGGTATAGTTATGATTAAACAAAACTTTTAGTGTTGATAATGTACTCTGATACATTGTAGTACAAATGCATTGGTTTCTTCATCACATTCATGACATCCATGAAGAAATGTGCTTATATTAAAATGGTCATGGGTTATATTTTGGTTAATCAGCTGATTTCTAAGTGTCAATTGAGAATGGTTGAATAGAGGACAGATAAAAAATAATGTTCCGCAGTTTCCTCACCAAAGTTGCATGTGCATATTGGAGAATCTTTTAAATGGTGAAGAAAAAGGTCAGAGTTTGAATTGCTGGCTTCATTTCAAAGTTGACACATAATTAATAAACAATAAGAATATATTCGTTATACTGGAACAGATTTGAGGTCTGTTTGACTGAAACATAAAATACAGACATGATCCAGTCATAAATACACACACATAAAATACAGACATGATCAAGTCATAAATATCACACACATACATAACAGACAGGACCCAGTCAATGTCACACACATACATAACAGTCAGGATCCAGTCAATGTCACACACATACATAACAGACATGATCCAGTCAATGTCACACACATACATAACAGACAGGATCCAGTCAATGTCACACACAAACATAACAGACAGGACCCAGTCAATGTCACACCCATACATAACAGACAGGATCCAGTCAATGTCGCACACATACATAACAGACAGGACCCAGTCAAGGTCACAAACATACATAACAAACAGGATCCAGTCAAGGTCACACACATACATAACAGACAGCACCCAGTCAATGTCACACACATACATAATAGACAGGACCCAGTCAATGTCACACACATACGTAACAGTCAGGATCCAATCAATGTCACACACATACATAACAGACAGGACCAAGTCAATTTCACACACATACATAACAGACAGGACCCAGTCAATGTCACACACATACATAACAGACAGGATCCAGTCAATGTCACACACATACATAACAGACAGGACCCAGTCAATGTCACACACGTACATAATAGACAGGACCCAGTCAATGTCACACACATACATAACAGACAGGACCCAGTCAATTTCACACACATACATAACAGACAGGATCCAGTCATAAATATCACACACATTCATAACAGACAGGATCCAGTCAAGGTCACACACATTCATAACAGACAGGACCCAGTCAAGGTCACAAACATACATAACAGACAGGACCCAGTCAATGTCACACACATACATAACAGACAGGACCCAATCAATGTCACACACATACATAACAGTCAGGATCAAGTCAAGGTCACACACATACATAACAGACAGGACCCAGTCAATGTCACACACATACATAACAGACAGGACCCAGTCAAGGTCACAAACATACATAACAAACAGGATCCAGTCAAGGTCACACACATACATAACAGACATGATCCAGTCAAGGTCACACACATACATAACAAACAGGATCCAGTCAATGTCACACACATACATAACAGACAGGACCCAGTCAATGTCACAAACATACATAACAGACAGGACCCAATCAATGTCACACACATACATAACAGACAGGACCCAATCAATGTCACACACATACATACCAGACAGGACCTAGTCAATGTCACACACATACATAACAGACAGGATCCAGTCAATGTCACACACATACATAACAGACAGGACCCAATCAATGTCACACACATACATAACAGACAGGACCCAGTCAATGTCACACACATACATAACAGACAGGA